TGACTTCTTATAATGAAGGAGACATTGGGATAAATCTGGGGCCTATTAAGGTAAATAAGGCATATGTTTTACTTTCGGAGAGCACATGTTCTCATTATAGCTGGTGGTCCCACTAATAGGTAGGCAATTAGTTTTTGTTCTAAATCATTATTTCATGTACCCTTGCCAGTTTTGACATTGAAACGTATATATTAGCATTTTGATCATAGATCCTGTTTTAATCTTATAATTACTGTCTTTGTTTAATTTTAAATTATGTTTATATGTAATTGATTAAATTCGATGTATTATCACATGTCAAAGAGGTTTAAAATTAATATAAAATTATCAAAATATATTTCCATATATAATTTGATCAAAAATATAGACTGAGCATACATAATTTACAATGATTTTGAATTTATCCAGTAAATAGTCATTGAATAGTTCCTATAAAGTCTTATGCAATGGAGAGGGGGAATTCATAGTGTATGACAAGGATTATTCCCTTTTAGCTTCCGACTTCATAAAGCTTTCTTTCTAGGAGAAGTTGGAAGGGACATAAAGTAATAAAGGTAAAATGATGTTAGGGTAGCAGGATAAGTTTGATGGGACACTGTACGGTACTACAGTGAAATTGAAGTAAATCTGTAGTACAAATATGGGAAGACAGTCAAAAATGGAATGAAAGAAACGTTCTGTAATAAGGATTTGTTGGGTTTTGTACAAAAACGTATCTGTTGCATGTAGGAAATGTGGAGCATGGGTATTTAACTGGGGAAAAGCTTTATTTATTAAAAGGGCATTGTCTCAGAAGGCAGCAGCCACACCAGGGACTGAGGGGCTGGGGTGAACCACCTCCCTAGGAGAGGATTATGAAGGTGATGGCCTAGGAAACTCTGATGAGGTTGTGAAGAAACTTTGTCCAGTGCAGATTGTTCTTGCTCATGAAGATGATCATAACGTTGAGCTTGATGAAGAAGCTTTGGAGCCAATTTTGCTACAGGAGCACATATGAGATATTAACATACTTGTGGTATCTGTGGCAAGGAGCTTTGGGTAAGAGAAAATCGTTTCTACTGGACTTCATGCTTAAATACAGGTACGGCAAGGATTCTCAAAGTTGGACGGTGCAAACAATGAACCATTGACTGGCTATATGTGACATGGTGGTTGTGAGAGGGAAACAACAGGCATCCAAGTTGGGAATGGCGTATTTGTGATTGATGGACCTAATGCAACAAAAGTGGCTGTGCCGCTTATGAACACCCAAAGGGCCTTTGATACCCAGTCAACTATCAAAGACTGTGCAACAGATTTTGCTCTGAGCACTACGACTAGTTTGGTCCAGGTCTAGAGTTTGTCTCAGAATATTCAGGAAGATGATCTTCAACACTTGCAGTTATTTACAGAATAGGCAAGATGTGCCGTGGAAGATATCTATCAGAAACCATTTCAAACATTAATGTTTTTGACATTAATGTTTTTGAGTAGAGATTGGCATTATCCTTATGAAAATTCATGTAGTTTACAACGTGGAAAAGAAGAGATTGCAGGTAATACAAAAGCAAAATGAAGAGCTACAGAATGTAAGGAAGCACATTGTAATTGTTTCACCAACCTGAGTTGCTTCCTTTTGCCACATCCTGGTCTTAAAGTTGCAACTAATCCTGGTTTTGATGGGAGATTGAAAGATATTGATGAAGACTTTAAAGGAGATCTTCAAAATTTAGCTCCATGGCTGCTTGCCCCTGAAAATTTGATAGAAAAAGAGATAAGCGGATCTCAAGTCACTTGTAGAGATCTTGTAGAATATTTTAAGGCTTACAATAAATTTATCGAGGAGGGGAACTTCCAGATCCCACGTCCGTGCTGCAGGAAACAGCTGAAGCTAATAATCTTGCTACAGTAGCAAGAGCATGGGGTAGCTATTGCAGAAGTGTGACAGGTATGTGGTGGGGACAGGCCTTACATTGCACCTTCCGACCTGAAGTGAAAACACCTGGATCTGAAGGACGTGGCCGTTAGACAGTTTCGTTTGATGAAAAAAATGGGTGGAGCTGAGTTCTGCCATCATTATCAGGACCAGCTTGAAGCTGAAATTGAAGAAATCTGTGTACATTTTATAATGCACAATGGCAAAATATCTTTTGTGTTGCTCGTACCCCTGCCATGCTGTTTGTGGCTATGTTTGCAATGTATATTAATCTCAGGACTGACTGGCTTCTTTGGCCTAAACTCTATGGCTGCCTTGTATAAACTTATTGCACCGTTAACACTGACATTGCTTTGTTCTCATGCATACTTTAAATTTTCTGGGGAGTTCAGAGAAATTGGAACAATGATTGATCGGATTGCTGAAACACTATGGGAACAGGTATTGAAGCCCCTGGGTGATAATTTGAAGGAGGAAAACATAAGGCCATCTGTAGCAAACTCTATCAAAGCAGGTCTGACTGACCAGGACTCTCATCAAACCAGATTAAAGACAGACTGACAGTTCATCTCCTTATGGACTCCACTGTCTCGTTTTCATACTTGCTGTAAAATGAGAACTCAAATAAAAATAAACCGAAGTTTACAATAAAAAGCATTGTCTCTTTTGAGTAAATGCACTATTATGATTATTCTTTTATTTGTGTAAATTCATTCGATATCATATGAAATTTAAGGCATGTATATAGTATTTAATAATCTAAGGAGAGTCATTAAGATTTCCATCCCTTTAAATATTTAAAAATGTCAAAAAGGAGGCAACCCACTTTCGGGTCCTCCTTCTGTCTCTCTTAGACAAAAGCTATCTTCCTCTCAATAAATTTTCCTACTCTCAAAAAAATGTCAAAAAGAATAATTTTAAATATTTTTGAGATAAAATGTGATATTGCAATATATGTATATGGTGATATGTACTGATCAAATGGAAATTAACATTTTTCATATCCATTATCATTGTTTTTTGTTTGGGGCATTCAAGCCTCTTTCTCTTGTAGTTATTTTATTTTATTTTATTTTTTGGTACTGGGGATCGAACTCTGGACCTTGTGCTTGTGAGGCAGGTGGCAGAACCACTGAGCTAGATCCCCAGCCTTCTTACAGTTTTTTTAAAAATATGTGATTATGGATAAACTACACTCATACCCCTGAAGGATTCTGTTTCTTCACTTGTTCGTTCAGCAAATATTTTTTAATATCTAGAAGATAGCATGGTAGTAATAAATTTATTTGCAGCGAAAAACAAATTGTTTATTTGAATTTATAGTCAAAGGATTATTTAAATTATTTGTCTTTAATCTATGAATAAACTATAGTCATTAGATAATTATGCAAGCATATGTGAAATTTTTTACATATAATGTACCATACTGGACAGAAGTTGCTGAAGTTAGGAGAAGCAGGATTTTACTTTGGATAAGTACATTTGTTTACTTGGTGGCAATAATTCTACTCTTTTTTCATAATATTCAAATTTTTATGACAGCCTAATGTGTCATGCTTTCTCCAAGCTATGAATTACTTGTATGTAGTTTTCTATTTCTGTAAAGCTTCATTAACAATCATCATTCTTTTCCTTTTGGATGCCTTTTTTATGTCTGAAATAATGTGTATTTTATACTACATTTACAGAACTTAAAAAGCCTCATGCCAATTCTAAAAGGTTTAGAATTATTAGAGCAGTTGTTTATAAAAACGATCTATATTCTGCTGGATTAAAAATGATGAGTGTAATCTTGAGTAAACAGACCAGCGAATTGTTACCTCTAAGTGACACAGGACAATTCAAAGGCACACTCATGACGTGAGCAGAAGTCGATAAGACCTGATGGTCTCCCAATGAAATGCATGTGAAGTCCATACTAATTAGCGTATAAATCAGACTGATACTCAAGTTTATTTGCTCCAGAAAGACTTCCTACTGTCAGGCAGTCAAGCACCACTCCTTTAATTGCAATTTATTCCAACAACCACAACTTATTGATCCTAGCATACACTTATACCACAGCAGTATCATTATTTGATTTTATTTTAACAGCTTCAAAAGGTTAGAAAGTTAGAAACCACTGTGAAAGAGACCATTAAAAAGTTTAGTTGCTAATATTGCTTCGCACTCTGGGTTGAGCAGTGTCAGCTATATCTGGAATTATAAACAAGGTCTGATGAAAAGACAGGTATGCGATATGAACTGGTACCTTGATATCAAATGTTATTTAGTAATTCCAAAATACAAACAAAAGCAAAGGATATGTGTGTGTGTGTGTGTGTGTGTGTGTGTGTGTGTTACATTTTATATATAACTAATAGCTACTAGGAATTAAGTAAATTTCCTACAATTATAATATTGAAATGCTAAAAGCATTCATCTGATTCCAAGCTCATGTTTAGTCTTTTGCATGATTTCATCCAAGATTTGGGCCTGTTGTCCATTCTGTGATGTCATGACCACCTCCACACATGCTCAGTGAAACTGAAATTACAAAGGAATAGGCTCATCCTCACGAGCTTTCCATTCAGCATGGCCTTCAAAGGCATGGCACGAACATCTGATTGCTTTCACCTCTTCAACATGTCATTTTTTATAAGCCGAGATTTTCTTTTTGTTCATTTGAGCGCTATGGCGGTGGCATTTTATTTGGGGATTTGCAGGTAAGCCCACAAAGTAGTCAGTGAGCCTGGTCTGATGCCTCTTGCAGCTGCAGTGATTATTTCTTTGAGGAGACTTAAAGTGGCTCAGGGCACGTGTGCTTCATGCATACTTTCTGAGTGGGTCTGGGTAACCCAGCAGCACTCAAAACTCTTCCCGAATCTTCTTTTGACCTTTGATTCGGGTTAAGCCAGAATGGGTCTGGCCGGTGGTACGACATCAAAACGTAGAGGATTTCTGTCTTATATCCTTCAGGGAAGCTCTGTTTCTGTGCTTTAATTTTCACCCCCCAATAAGTTTTATTAGCAGCCTAAATAAACCACTCATTTAGTTAAAAATTAATTTTAAAATGATGGATTTAGTTCAATCTCCTTATTTTTGCAGGTGAAGAAATGAAGAATCAAAGGAGTAAAGAACCGGGCTCAAAGTCACAGGACTAGTAAGTGCTGCCTGCATACCTGTGTAGATCCTTAGACGACCGAGTTCTACTCACTGTGTAACAGTGGCCTCTCACTGCAGACAAAAGCATGCACAGCTTTCAGAAGCAGTTTCTGTCGCTGTTTGGGCCACATTTTGGAACCACTTGCATTCAGTCTTACTATACCCTTGGAGAACTCTTCTAAAATGGATGACTGGCAGTTCTTTTTCAGAAAAGACATGATTTACAAGGTCAGGTATCAAAAGCAAGAAGTTGGCATTATTTGCAGATTTTCCATGTCCTAGGCCCTTCGCATGAGTTGTTCCATTGAACCCTCGTGAAAGTGTTGTGAGAAGGGTTTTATCTCTGTTTTTCAATTACATTTAAGACTCTGACACAGTTTTCAAAGTATGTAGAGATATCAGAGTTAGATTTTAGTTCTCAAATTTTCAGACTTCAAAAATACCAACTTCTAAGACAATTCTATACTTCAATAACTACAAAAAAGCAAGATCGATAAAATAGTACATAATCTTGCACTACCATGACATAACTAATTGCTTCATATACTTCTGAGAGGTGACATGGCATGTGCTATAAAGATTGACAAAGTCTTGCTCTTGGCCTCCAACTAGCGACTCTGAAAACCATGTTGATATAAAGACAGCAAATATAAAGATATCTGTAAACAAGGGTAAGTACTGATAACTCACGTATATGACCTTACCACAGTTCCAGAGCTTCACAATTTGTCAAGTTCAACAACATGAAAATTTAGAAGAGGAAGGCTTTATTTTAGTTATTATTACATGAAAGAATTGGAGACAAAAAATAATTGGCATTTTGAGCTAGCGGAGATCTAGTAATTAGATATAGACATTAGAGGAGAATAACAGAAGTATAGAGGTAGGGGAAAGGTGTAGGGGAAGCTTGGTAATAACGAACAGGCTAAATCCCAGAATAAGATGAGGAAGAGTGAAGTGTTGTTTCAAAATGTTGGATTGGAATGCTTGGTGAAAGTCTTTGAACCCTGATTTTCAAAATTATACTTACTTTTCATCAAGAAGTTATTAAAGATGCCATGGGTTTGTTATCGCTTCTTATTCTAATCAAGCCAGTGCTGTAATTGGATCTGTGTAATTGGGAAAATAACAGAGTCGCTAAAAGATGGGGTAACAAGACAAATGGGGGTAAAATCTTGAGATCAAGACTTTCTATTAATTTTTTATCTTTTAAATATAACAGGATATCTCCTCCCCAGTGATTCTGTCTGCTCAGATTTGTACAGTAGCTTTAAAGAGGATGCACATGTACTTTTCTCCCAACTGTCTTTTTCTTCATAAATTTTTGTGATATGAGTAAATTGCCTATCTTGCCTATCACCCTGAAAAAGAATCCGTCACATAAGGGTCAGAACAGACATGCTATTATTTTTCTTACTCCGGAGTATTGCTTCTTTGTAGATGAGAGGTGTTTTAGGGAGATTTTTCCCCCTGGGATTTGAAGTTACCTATTTGCTCAGATTTAGCACTCCATGCAGAGGTAGGGAAAATGGTCTTACTCTTCACTGAGGAGCAAAACAAGTAGGAAGAAGTTGTGTCATCTTCAACCATTTTGTTAGCATAACAAAGAAACAATGACATAAAAAATAGTCTCTCTGTAAATTAAGAATTGTACACCATGCAAAAGATCAACTGTTTGTAACACCCAGACGGAGCCTAAAGTTTTCTGGTCTAACGCTAGGTAAGGAAACTGTTCATGAAAAAAGAAAAACTTTAAACAAGTAATCATCAGTACTTTCCTCACTGTACCCCATTTCTTATAGGCGTAAGGATAAAAGGACAAAATTGTACTCATCCATTAATGGAGCAGAACCATATCACCCAGCTGTTCTTGACTGTGATCTTTTAAGTAAGGACAGCTAAACTCTGACCAATTCAATTTGTTCTTGTGCAATTGAGCTCATACCCATGAATCCCACCTCGGTGTTGGGAGCTTTTGTTTTTATTTTTGTTTTTTGGGAGGTCTACATTATATATGTGACCTCAGGCCACCCTTAGAAATTTACCTTATTCAATTTGTATTTCTTTTATAGCCTATATATTTGCTAAATGTATACATTCTATATTGAATCTCTGCTCTGCTCTCTTAGAGACAAATGTGTAGTCTTATCTTTTGTTCCAAATAGAGGCTATCCTTCTCAAAAGCAATACTTCTACCATTGAATATCTTTTCACTAAACCAAAATGCAGGAACAATTCTGACCTTGTAAGAAAGTAACTCTTTGATGAATGATCTTCCAAGTCAATTTGGTGTATGAAATTTGGTATTTTGATGTTCAGGGTTTTGTAATGAAAGGATGAGTTAGAGTTTGAGGAAGCAAATAAATATTAAAAGTCAAACAGGCCAATGTTGTGAAGGTTTGGTGTGAATACTGAAAACCCATAGTGTGTGCCTGGCACGCAAAAGGTTTATTTCTTGAAAGTCATTATTGGCTTGTAAGGATAGCTCTTTTGTCTATTTCATTAGTGTGTCTGTAAAAGATGATCAGTTAAAGTTTGTTTCCACGGATTGAAAACTCGTATTAAATTTCAGACAACTGGCTCAAGAATCAGTTTTGTACTTACTTGCATATTGGTTGTTGACCATCAATGTGAGTGTGTGCATTTCTAAGCTGTAGAACTTGCTCTAATGACTCCTGCTTGCCGATTGTGCTGAGAACTGGAGATGGGTGTGCGGCTCTCAGCATTATTTCTTGGCATTACTTTGATGCTGCTAGAAAGGCCAAACGGTGTTTCGTTTGTAGTACATTTTATGCACTCCCAATTGGCCTTTGGACTTGAAATAGAATGAGGTGCAGAAGAGAGAGGTGAAATTAATTGACTTTTTTGTATATGTGAAAGGGAGCAATGCATGAAAATATCCACTATTTTCCAATAACATCAATCAATACGCTTTCTAGTAGTATTAAAGTTTTAAGGTGATAAGATTGTTGAAAATACATATTTAACATAGAAGATGCGATTATAATGTGGGAGACAGTTTGGCATGTGAGAGATTAATAACATGGATTATTGAAAAGCATAATATAAATAATGAGTAAAAACATAGATTCCATTATTTGCTGTTTCTTTTACCTAGAAGAAGCTTCTCAGTTTTTCTGCACCTGTAAAAATATCTTCTTGTAAAATATCTTCCTTGCAGAGTTCTTTTAAGTATTAGAATGTATGTAGTTTCTGATGTATAAGCAGATATATGATTTTTTGAGTATTCTTATAAGTTTTCTGCCTTAATCATTATTTTAATTGTATCTTAAATATTTGGTTTCTCAAACTTCTTAAAAGTTCCAATGAAAAATGCATAGAATGTCGGTAAACATCCACAATTTATTTCATATTTAAGTTTAGAAACACAGAATTTCTGTCCATTAAAGTGCTGCATATCCAACTATATTCTCCCCAATATTTTCTAGATAAATATTCTTTTTAAATGCACAATTTGTTGAAAGATGTGATTATTTGAGTCAATGTCCAAATCCAATTAGAATATAATAGTTTGAAGATTAAATATTAGTGGAATAGTATATCTATACCTGTATACGTATCCATCCACCTATTCTAGTTCTAAATGCTTCAGAAACTTTAGTTTGGAACTTAAACTAAGTTCCAAATGTATAGGCATATACAATGTGACCTTGAGGGAAGAGATTCTATTTTACAGGTGACATTGAAAGAGATTCAGCATAATTTGTGTTATTTTTCTTCATATTAATAAAGCAAAAAGGACTACTTGGTTTTAAGATTATACAATTAAATGAAAAGCTCTTTTTAGAAAGCAAATAATCTAACGAAGTTTCGTATATGCTAATGTTTGCTGGTCTTGCTGATTTAAGCCAACTTACCTAGACCAGTTTGTTATAACTCCCAGCCTGACTGATCCTGCATGGCCCTTGGCTGTTTCTTTCTTTCTTGCACGTTGGAATACATTCTTTCTCTGTCTGTGACTATGGGCTTGATTCCTATTTCCAATGTTAAAATTCCTATTGTCCTTCACAGTTAGTTCTAATATTATTTCCCAGACTCTATCATTACCTTAGTAACATATTTCAGGTAATGCTCTTAATGGTGCCTGACCTATTACAATTTGCTGACATTTTTCTTCACTGGTGAAAAATAATTCTCTCTTTCTTTCTCTTTTCTTTCTGTTGTCAAACATAAGGAATAAAATAAGCATTTTTCTGGACTTAACCTTCCTGGCGGTTGGAGCACCCACACCTGCTGACCCCTGCTTTTCTTCCTGTTAAATTCTTCCTTATAACTGAATTCTGGCCAATGGAAGACAATCAAAGTTGTGTGGCCCATGTTATGGATCATGAAAACCTCCTATACATGCTCCTTCATGCGATAAATTTGGAAGACATATAAGACCTGTGCTCTTCCAAACCTTGTAATTTCTCACCCCTTTCTCTGCCTACTTGCCAATCTTTTACCAGATTCAGGGATTCAGTCTTGGCTTTCACCTATTTGGGGCTTAATATTGCTTAGAATTGAACAGTGTCTAGGTAAAATTACAAATACTTGTATTAATAAGAGGAACTAAACAATGGATGATGTCCCAGACATCATTGTGTGGGGGATTGCATTTATTTATCTTTACCTGGTATATTTTTATGTTTTATGTGGCTGTCTGAGCAAGTTTTTCAGAATTGATTCCCATTTCATGGAGAGTTCTTATCATAAAATGATGTTGGATTTTGTAAAGTGTCTTTACTGTATATATTGATAAGATCGTGCAATTATTTTCTTAGAATGCGCATCTGCTAGAAAAGGTTTGTTTCTTAAATATTTACCATAAAGAAATATTGGTCTATCCTCCTGAGGTATTTTCACAGTTTTATTTATTAACTAAATTGAAGAATCATTTTCAGTCCGTCTTTGATGTTTAGTTTACACTCAGATTTTGTACAGTACTTAGCGTTAGCACTAGAATATTAATATCACAATATTCAAAGCTCTAATTAC